GAGAGAGAGAGAGAGAGAGAGAGAGAGAGAGAGAGAGAGAGAGAGAGAGAGAGAGAGAGAGAGAGAGAGAGAGGGGTGGTATCGTCGCAGTTTCGGTTCTGCTGGGATTAGGCTAGTTTATGGGTTGAACAGTACGCTGTGAAAGATTTGGCAGAGGAAGTCTGTGCAGGAAGTAGCGGTGCGTTGCTCCTTTTTTTTTTTGTTTGTTCTTTTGCTCCAATGATTATCGTTGTCTTAACCGATCGTCATTTGAACTTTTTGGTTTCTCGCCCTATTTAAATAGTGCGGGAAAAGCAGAGCGATGACAGCATGCCCGCACGCCTTTCATGCCCATTTCTCTTCTTTACTCGATCGTTATCGTTCTCGAAGGGAAGAAAAGGTGTCGGCGAGGCAACGGAAGATAGCACAGCATCATTCTTCACCCTCCCCCGCCGGACACAGCGCATACCCTCCAGTCTTCACCCTTCGGTCCTGTGCACTTGGGGAAACCTGCACGCGAATGCACGCTATCGATCACTTGATGATTAAATATATGCAAGCTATCGACCAGGATACAGCTATCGAAAAAAAAAAAAAGAAAAAAAAAAAATGGATACAGCTATCGATCGGGTCGCAGACGGTAGTTAGTTGGATGCGTTGAGTTCGGAGCTAGACGTCCTCGGGGGTAGTCGGACAGTATCGAGTCCAAGTTCAACGTCTGCCTTTCAGAGAGAGAGAGAGAGAGAGAGAGAGAGAGAGAGAGAGAGAGAGAGGAACGAGTCCTGGCAGTCGGGCGATCGGGTGGGAAGAAAATGTTATCTTGTGGTTAAATAAACGTGGAAGATAGGTAAGTATCAATTGGTGGGCAGTTGGCAAGTATTGATTGTTGGGGCAGTCGTTGAGGCTTTGAGCGTAACCCATACTCAGCCTGGCTGCTGCGACGAGTGGGAAGACGCTAGCCCACTGCTAGGGAGCTCATAAATCGCTTTCGCAAAGCCTCAACGCCTCAGGCTTAACCCCGGTTGCGGTCAAGGCGTCAACGACTGCCTCAACAATCAATACTTGCCACCCTTACTGGTGGCTAGTCGTTGAGGCTTTGACCGCAACCCCGGGGTTAAGCCTGACCGCAATCGGTCTACTGTAAGTGATTATTACTTCGCTTACAGTATCATAATCGGTTAGGGAGGGACTCTGCAGACTGTAGAGGGTTCAGGCTTTTGATGAGTAGGGAGGTGAAAGTCCGACGAAAGAGTTTGTCACAGCCCCTCCCTCGTTTGTTGTTCTCGTCTCTCCCTCCGTCTCTGCCTACGGTTTACCTTAGGCAGCTCTCTTCTATGAAGAGGTGAAACTACTGATGAGGAGGTGAAACTACTGATGAGGAGGTGAAACTACTGATGAAAGACTGTCACACCCCCTCGTTTATCGTCCCCTTCTCCCTCTGTGTCTGGTGTTACGGGGCATTTCTGTTTGACGATATGTGTATGGATATTTTTTTTAAGACATTACGGTAAACAAGAGCATGGCGCCCATCATTTGGGGTCTTATTAATCTCGTCGCAGTCCACGAACGGAACGGGGAACGGAGAGAAAATCGGGATCTCGCTCGTGTCATCAACGAAATAGACTAGAGGTAAATAGAGAAATCGGCTTAGGTTAAGGAAAAGAAAAGACATTCAACTACCGTTCACCACGAATAAAGTGCGATGCAGATTTCACCCTCGGGCAGCGATTAAATCAATAAAAAAAATCATGAATCAATCAATCGATCAGCATATCAATCAATCGATCAGAATATCGATCAATCGTTCGAAGAATCAATCAATCAAATATCAATTTGTCAATTAAGTGAAAATGAATGAATGAATGAAGGAATGAATCATCATTGTATACGAATGATTGCATCATTCAATCATCCAATGATTAAACCTGTGTCAATTCAATCAATCAGGTAATTCATGTGGCACTTGAGCATGTTGGGCCGTCCATCTAATGAATGAACGGAGGAATGGATGAATGAACCATTCATTCATTCAATCAGTCAATCATTCAATCATTCAATCATTCAATCATTTAATCATTCAATCATTTAGGTAATGAATGCGTCGGTTGTGCGGGTTGGGCCTCGTTTATTCCATTATTATACATCTCTCTCTCTCTCTCTCTCTCTCTCTCTATCTATCTATCTATCTATCTATTTATCTCTCTATCTATCTACCTATCTACCTACCTACCTACCTACCTACCTACCTACCTATCTACCTACCTACCTATCTATCTTGTCTTATCCATCTTTATGTCCATCTATCTACCTACCTATCTGCCTACCTTATGTATCTTCTCTCTCTCTCTCTATCCCTTGAATTATCGAGTTATTTATCTATTCTATCTGTGAAGTTAAACCTTCATTGTTTCTGTATTTGGATAGGTTTTGTTCTGGCTTCTTTTGGAGGTCTCCGAAGTTGGATACGTCAGCAGCTGTCAAAGCAAAAACTGAATTGGAATCAATCGCTGGAATAAAAGGATTCGAACCGTTGTTGCATGTCGCTTGTCAAAAACCGATGCCTTTCCACTTGGCTATCACAGCGTCCGGTAGCCAAAAATAGAGTCCTATTTATGGTCTTTGGGTTTCCAACAGTTCCCGTAAAGAGTAAAACACAAACGATGTGGGCACTCGAACGGCGAAAGTCCTTTCTGGAGGCAGCACCCGCATCTGTTTTGTACTCGAGAAGAGGCGTCTCTTTTTTGTCTATCTATATCTAATCGATCTATCTATCTAATCTCCCTCTCTATATATCTATTTAGATAATTTATCTATTTATCTAATCTCTCTCTCTCTCTCTCTCTATTTATCTATCTATTAGGCTCTCTCTCTCTATTTATCTATCTATTAGGCTAATTCTTCTACGCCTCTCTGTCTCTCTCTCTCTCTCATTTCTCTCTATGTATTTATGTATCTTCCTCATCTATCTACCTTCTCCTATCTATCTTGTATTATCTATCCTTAATTCCACTTATCTATCTATCTATCTATCTATCTATCTATGAATCAGTCAGTTTTTTCCCAATCTCTATGTATTTATCTATCAAATGTATTTCTCCGTCATCTACCTACCTATCTACCTGCCAATCTCTCTTATCTATTTATCTATGTATTTCTCCCTCATCTATCAGGCTAATTCTTCTACACTTCTCTCTCAATTTATCTATGTATTTCTCCCTCGTCTGCCTCGTCCCATCTTACCTTATCTATCTTTATGTCAATCTATGTAGATATTTATCTGTATCCCTCTACGTCTATTCTATCTATCTAGACGTATTAGAGTGTTCTCCGTTGCTGACAATTCCCGCGAAAAGTTAAAGTTTACAGAAAATATCACAGAGGGAGAACGGAGGAATTCCATCTTTCTTGTGTCTGGAGACTCTAAACCTAATTTATCTAGCTATCTCTTTACCTATCCATCAATCCAAAACTTCGTCTTGACAGGCACGTGGGTTATCCTCAGACGATTTATAATCTATGCATCCTCCTGTCGGCAGTGTATCGAGCAGGTGGATCAATCGACAATAGGCGTGCGAAAGCGATTTATGAACTCCGCGAGGGGAAGTAGGGGGCTTTTTTTCGTGTGTGTGTGTGTGTGTGTGTGTGTGTGTGTGTGTGTGTGTGAGAGAGAGAGAGAGAGAGAGAGAGAGAGAGAGAGAGAGAGAGAGAGAGAGAGAGAGAGAGAGAGAGAGAGAGAGAGAGAGACTCAGAGTGTGTGTGTGTGTGTGTGTGTGTGTGTGTGTGTGTGAGAGAGAGAGAGAGAGAGAGAGAGAGAGAGAGAGAGAGAGAGAGAGAGAGAGAGAGAGAGAGAGAGAGAGAGAGAGAGAGCATTGTCAACTCCGCATGGGGAGGGAGTAGGGAAGGGGGGGGTTTGAACGCGGTTGAGGAATGGCCGAATTGGCCTGTCTGGAGGGCAAGTTTATTTCTTCGACAAGAATATTGGGAAAAAAACTGACCGATTCTCTTGCTCTGTACCCGTGAGGAGTCGTCTGTACTGTTTCTTAATTAAGATATCTTGCTCGAGAGAATCAGTTCTCTTCCCAACTAGGGACAGGTCCTTGCGGGCACTAAGCATAAGACTACTTTATACGGAAAATGGAGACTGTATTATTCCAGTTTTAGCGCAAGTATACCTTCGCCAAGAGCACAAATCTGTTGTCGAACTCCGCTGGTGTATGGACCCACTATGTGCCTCCCGGGATCCATCCACTTACCTAATATGGAAAATGCCCGACAACAATGTTCCAATTTTAGCGCAAGTATACACCCCTTTTTCTCATTTGGCTAATGCGGGGCGAGGCCCAATTTCTCTGTTTAACCTTTAGCGCAAGTATACACGCATCAAGATCTTTTGAATCTTATACTCCGCCTAGCACCCCTCTCCCCCAATCCCAACCCACCCTCCTCCCCCCAGCGGTTTCCTATTCCGAGTGCGACATGGTGTATTTCCCCCCCCCCCCCCCCTTGATTTAAGGAAAAAAAAGAAGGCAACGGCCTTGAGGTATGATCATCGAACTGCCCGACCCCGCATTAACCAAATGTGAAAAAGGGGTATATACTTGATGCGTGTATACTGAATTCAGGGTTAATTGTATTTGTTCATTTTCATTTATGATTTGCTCTAGTCTCGATCTCAGATCTTGTTTATTTATCATCCGGTACATGGGTGTACTCTCTCTCTCTCTCTCTCTCTCTCCCCTCACTACCTCGCCGTCATCTATGGTCGCAGGAATGGCTCCTTTCCCTCTCCTCTCCTCTCCTACTACAGCAACTGGCTGGCGCCTGCGTACTCCTCTCAACTCTCACGTGCAGCGTCGAAGCCGAACCTAGACTTGAGGAGGTCAACACTATACAGAGTTGACCTCCCCATTTCTTGAATGAATCTCTGTATAGTGTTGACCTGCGTTGACCCGGGGTCAGCTTCTTTCCATGTGAGCCCCTGGATCGTCCGAATGTCGACGGCTCAGATGCATTTTGTCCCAGTTTCGGTCTGAATGTGGACGACTCCTTGAGGCCTGAATCGTCCGAATGTAGACAACTCCTTGAGGCCTGAATCTTCTGGAACCTGCAGACAGACCACTGTTAGATCGTTCCCGATCGACGGCCAGTATGTGTTGACTTTGACTTGTCGGATCTGGGCCTGGGTCCACGAGTTGACTGTTGACATTTCGGTCAACTGTCGGTCTGGGCCTCTTCCTAGGGCCTGCTTGACCTGTTTTCAGGGCCTGCTGCCCGTTCGTGCTTGTGGGAGGGCGAAATCAGATCGCAGCGGCTCAATTTTGGCACACGAGTCACGGCAGGGTAGTCAATCGGATTTTTAATTTGATTAGGCATTTGATTGTATTTGATGGGATTTGATTTGGATAAATTTGATTGGGTAGTTGATTGGATTTGATGGGATTTGATTTGGATTAATTTGATTGGGTAGTTGATTGGATGCGAAATTTTGGCACATGTATATGATTCTATTTGATGAGATTTGATTAGATCCGATAGAATCAGGCTTGACTGGATTTGATTGGATTTGAATCATTTGATTGATTAGATCCGATCTGATCAGAATTGACTGGGATTTGATTGGATTTGATTGATGATTAGATGCAATCTAATTAGATCGCATGTTATCAACGCCATATCTCATGGTGGATGGCAATCGAAGGGCGTACTCATTCTAGGATTTCTTCTGGATGCATCCGACTGCAATTACGACCGGCCCTGGGTTCTCTCTGGCTGCAATCACATCCTCGTCTGAGTGTGCCCTGATTAGATAGAATTTGATTAGATCTGATCTAATCAAATTGGCAAATTGCCATCAAGTCTGCTGGAGATAGCGGAATGGGGTGCATTCAACCAACCAAGCGTATACGTCTGAGGGTATATTGGCAAATTGCCATCAAGTCTGACGGAGATAGCGGAATGGGGTGCATTCAACCAACCAAGCGTATACGTCTGAGGGTATACTTGCACTAGGACCTTTTTACTCAGCTCGGGCCGTAGATATGCTCAGATTCATCCGTGCCGGGTCCGAATTGCGGCCAGATACCAGGAAAGTGCTAGTGTGACCAGATACAACCAGGAAAGTGCTAGTGTGAATACGGTCCAAGGAAAATTGGCATGCCTCCTGTAGAAAAAAAAAGTGCGCCTGCGCAATCACACTAGGACCTTTTCACTGAGCTCTAGCCAGTGAAAAAAAAAAGGTTATGCTCAGATTTATCTGGGCGGGGTCCAAATTGCGGCCAGATACACTCAGAAAAGTGCTAGAGTGAGTACTCTTTTAAGGAAAATTGGCACGCCTCATGCAGAAGAGTGCGTGTGTGCGTGTGTATGTACATACAAGACACATACATCTGGCAAAGCAGCGATGATATTTTGTGTCCCAAAGCAAAGAGTGGGAGAGGGAAGCTATAAATTAAATTATTACGAAAGCCTAAAGAAAATCACAATGGAGTTGAATGAACTGTTGAAATACAGACCGGAGTTCGAAATCCACTGGGAGCAGATGAATGAAATCCACAATTCTGAATTACCTGGGGCCGGTCAATTCGATGATAATATCTCGAGGCTGTCGCCCTTCGGAAAAAGGGAAAAAAAGGGGGAAAAAAGAAAAAAAGAAAATCACAATGAGGAAGGAACAGAAGCCACAAAACCTAACCCTGAACAAAAATGGGACCCCCCCAAAAAAAACGACCAGCGGGAACTCACCTTGAATTCGACTCAAAATTGGGCCAGCAGGGGGACCACAGCTTGGATTGGAACCAAATGGGACCAGGGGGGGGACCACATCTGGGGTTGGAACCAAAGTGGGGGAAGGCAGGCGGACAGGCGGACAGGTGGACAGGCAGGCATGCAGGCATGCAGGCATGCAGGCATAGAGCAGGCAGGCAGGTAGACAGGCAGGGAGGCAGGCAGGTAGATGGGCAAACGGAAAGATAACAAAGATAACACGAGTAAACCGGATATTAAGCACACAAGAAAGACAGACAAATGCAACAACCAATTCAGTATTCAGCAACGAAAGAAAAGGGACCAGGATCATTGCTACCTTCTTCACCCCAATACAACATACGTACGGTCATTATCGCTGTATTTAGACTGAAAGATACCCCCAATACGTACAGCTATAATGACCGTACGTTGTATTTGGGTGAATAAGGTAGACATATGGTAGGTATGTCGTTCTTCTTAAATACCACTACCTCTTCTAGGCAAACTTTGCGATGACATTGATGGACGGTGCTACTGGACCATAATGTGTTGGTGGCGCCAGCCAAAAAAGGAAAGAAAACGCACCTGTGGCAATCAACTTGAATTAAGTTTTTTTTTTTGGCGTTCAGTGGAAGTCCGTATTGGGGAAAAGAGTGTTTTTAAGGAAATGCCCCTCGCCACCACTTTGAAGTGACGGGGCATACCCCGGTAAATGGCCCCTCTTCCGTTGAAAGGATGATTCTTGAGTGTAATGAGAGTAGTGTTGTGTCTTTTTCACTTTTCACTTTCGCCACAGGTAAAGTTTCATGGAGGGGTGACGCCGAGTTTTAAAAACCTGGAGCGGGGTTGGAACTTGTGTGTTTCGTTGACTTTTGCACAGGTAGCTTTACGGGGGAGAAGCCGACCCGAGCCGACCAAGGAGGAAGTACTTCGGAGAGCTGCCGAACAAAAAGCTGCTAGGAGTCGAGGACGCAAAGAACATAAATCTGCCCAATGTATTCAGGTGAGTGTGGGAGGCAACAAAATGGCAGGGGAATGAATGGATGATTTCTTGAGGGCTTGCTTGGCGTGGTCCCTCACCGGGGTGTAGTATTTACTGCCTCAGCTCTACTGCTATGTTAGGACCTTTGACTCACTATGAATCTGGACGTGAAAGCGGGTAGGCTCAGTCTAAAATTAGTACAAAGTTGCATGCGTAGCACTGGTGGGGCTGCTTCTTATCGTAGGTGCGCCCAGCTGCTGACTCTTGGCAATCAAGAATTAACAACCATCACTGTGTTGTGATCCTGGCCAATTTCGAAGTACACATTCATCAGAAAGTACAATGCTGTCCAATTGCAAACAGAAATGAATGAACTTGAGAGGAGAGAGATGGAAAGAAAAAGAAGAAGAAAGAAAGAAAGAAAGAAGAAGATGATCAAGTGTAGTTTCTGTTCTGATAAGTTTAATATCTAATCCGTAGTCCATCTGGCCAACAAAAAAAAAAAAAGAAAAAAAAAAAAGATGATGTACACAAGCATAGACCAATGATAATGCTTTTCTTCTTCGCCAACCACTCTCCCTATTCCTTATCTCCTCCCCTCTTATTCAATCAAGAAATAATATAATCATATTGAATGGCTGAACCAGAATCAATGTCCGAATCCCTCTTCTACTGCAGGTATCACATGAGGTCCACCATAGCCATGGCCACCCTTCTTCCTCCTTCCAAGGCCGAGGCTATGTCGGACTGCTAGGGCCTGGCCCTGATGTGCAGAAGACAACTCAAGCGGCTATGGCTGCTCTAGCTCAATCCGCCATGCCGGACTCTGCCTCGAAGCGTCTTGGTGTAGCTCTACCCCCGCGGGGTCCTTGGTGCAGCGCCCACCAAGGTGATGAAGATGGCAACCACCATAGCCAGGTAAGTACCTGCGCTCCCCCTTCCTACTGCTGGTCTTCTTCCTCCTCCTGTCCTTGCTCCTCCCCAGCAGTGCTGCTCCTTGCTAGCAGCACTGCTCCAGCCAGCGCTCCAACCAGTGTGTCGCCAAACTTGCACACCAACAATGAGGAGTAGCACTTTGCTCCTCCTGGAGATATAGCGGCCTACATGCCTCTTGGGGAGTGACTTCCCAGGCTGCATGGCCGCCGAGCAACCGGTACCTTCTCCTTTTCGGAGGTAAACATCATTGCAGACTCTGATATTGTCCGTACAGGCCCTAGACTCAGACTGGTTGGACTGGTACCTGCCTAGACCTAGCCTAGGATTACCGGGCCTCTAAAAATGCCAACTTTTGTCTCCTTCTGCTCGGCCTCGAGTACCCGGCACATCTACCTCTACCCGGTGTGGTACCGGCCTACCTGAGTGTTTTTCCACTGCTTCAAGTGTCGCGGGCCTCTTTCTCGTCTCGTCACTCGAGTGTTTTCCCCGCTGCAACCCTCAATGTCACGGCCACAGGTAAGTACCGGCCCTTCGGGCCCTCTGAACGAACAAGTGCCCTTGCGGGTCACACACACACTCAAGCCGACAAGCACTCAGACAGGCATGCAGACCAGCAAGCATGCACACACACAAGACTTAGAAAATTCAGCAACAAGTGGGAAACTCAGCAAGGCATTCATTCCATGAGCAAAACTCAGAAATTAGCTGTGTGTCTCAGTCCGTGTTTGGCAGGGTCATTACTTGAGGTTGTTCCTGCACTATTTAAAAAGCCAAAAACCAAAAAGTTAAAATGACCCAAAAGTTCAAATGCCGATCGGTTAAGAAATCAGCTGTTTGGAAGGGTCGTAATGACCCTACGGGTTGTTGCTGTTGTTTGTTTGTTTATTTGTTTGTTTGTTTGTTTGTTTGTTTGTTTGTTTGTTTGTTGATTGAGGTGGTTTTGTGCAGGCTGAACAAGTGCGGTATGTCTGATGAAGTGGCGCAATTACATAGTTTTGTTTTTTTAACTTTTGTCTTTCTGTTTTTCGTTTTTTCTTTGGTAAGTTTGATGAAGAAGATCTTTCTTGAATTGAGCAGCAGTCATTTTGTGTGTTTGTCGGTGGTGATGACTGTGATGTGCAGAGGTTTGTGCGAGGTTACCTTGCGGCGTCTCACTGGAAAGACCAGCTTCGACATGAGCTAGATTTCTGGCTAGCGCCTTTCGCATCGCCCTCATTGGTGGCATCAATTGCCCTTCCCTCTTGTCCTCCCTCCCCTCAGAGGGCCACTGCGGACACAGTTCCCTCAGCTATAAGAGATGCACGATTCACGACAATGTGTGAATCGGGGGGAAGCCTTACCCCGTCGGCGAGCATCCCGCCGTTGCTGTCTATGTTCTCTTCACTACATCCAGCCCCCCCCCTGGCCGTCTCGAGGGACAAGCAAATGACTTCCCCCCCCTCTTGTCCTGATGTACCATCTCCCAACACCATCGCAGCAACCCCATCAACAGCTGCAGGCTCACCTGTAGCGACGACGCCAGTGACTTTTTCAAGTTTACCGTCAACGACGCCTGTCCCCGGCGGGTGGTTGGCCGGTTCGACCTGTTTCTCAACTCAGGCCAGCACGAGTTCTGCGGCAAGTTCTTCAGTGACCAAGAACCAGCCTCTCACAGCCCATGAGATAGCGCGGCATATCCTAGCACCCGTCCTTTTCATCTTGCGACCGAGGTCAAGTTTGGCGTGGCGTATTGTTGAGGGGTCGGGAGATGCTGAGCGCCTGACTACCGCATTCACCCTTCTCTTGAAGAGCATTTCCAATACCGGTTAGTAAGTTTCTAACATACCCCTGTTCTTTGTGCTCTGTTGTGTTAAGTGAGAGAGAGCAGAAGAATCATCGTTTGTTCATCGTTTGTTTCCTGCCTTTTGGTTTTGTATGCTGGGGCCTTGTAGATCAAAAGCGCATCCAAGGGAAAATTACTATACTGTTTGGGTAGGCGCCTGAATGAAAGTTGATTTCCTTTCTGTTTCTGTGGTTGGTTGGGGGGGGGAGAGGAAGAGGGAGAGGAAAGGAGAGGAGAGGAAGGGCCGCACGTCCTACTCTTCTTGTGTGGGTAGGCACAGCGTAGACTGTAATCTAGACTTATGTACTCCCCCCCCCCGCCCCCTCTCTGCAATTCACATTGATTATCGCATTTCGCTGCGCTCTTCATCGTTGCGAGGGCCAAGATATTCGTTGTCTGAGAGTGATGCACCGCAGTCGTTTCGTTGTTTGTACTCTGTAGTGCGTTTGCTCTAATTTTTCAGCTACGTTAAAAAGGCACGTCAATCTGTGGAAAACTGAATTTCCTGAAGCTGTTCGATTCTGTTGTTCATTGTTTTCTGTTGTCTGTGAGGGTAGGCGCAGCTTAGACTATAATCTAGATCTATGTACTTTCTGTTTCATTCGTTTCGCCGTTTGTGCTCTTAGTGTGATTGCTATAATTTTTAAGTTACGTCTTCTGTTTTTCTTTGTTCTTTTGTTGTTTGTTTTTTTTGTGTGTGTGTGTGTGTGTGTGTGTGTGTGTGTGTGTGTGTGTGTGTGTGCGTGCGCGCGCGTGTGGCTCTTCACTCTCTGCCTTCTTGTTCTCCTTCTGTTCTTTTTCCATGTTGTTTGGCTTCCTTCTTTGATGAATCACAAGTTCGCAACCATTCTCATTGTCTTTAGCATCATCACTGTCTCTTCTCGTCCTTATCCCTTTACTCAGCTGGGTCTTGGCGTTCTTCCTCCTCTCCTTGCATCACGGTTTCAAACTTTTTTTTCGCCATAACGAATCACCACTCTTCCCTTTTCTGTTGTCCTTCACTCACTTTCTCTCCTGTGTTCCCCTCCCCTTTCTTTTCGTTGGCTTGGCCTCTTTTCTCTCCTCTGTGCCTCCCCTTTCTGTTCCTGGACGTGGCTGTGCCTTGCCATCACCATATGCTTCATTCCTGATGCTGCTGCTTTATAGCCGATGTGTCTTGCAAATCGTTGCTGGATGACTTGGCGACAGTTTTCTCCCAAACGCTATACGCCCTTGATTGTATGGAACTGGAACGAGATCTTGTATACATTCATGCTCGGTGTGCATTGTGTGCAGGACAAGCCAATTGTTGCTTTGTCATGTTTGCATTGCTTGCTAAGGACTTTTTGCTTTGATGGTGGGTCGATCTGCATCTTTGTTCTCCGCATCCCTCTTATTCTTTGTCCTCATGCTCCTTGTTCTTCTTCCTCTCCCTCTTTCTCCTCCTCCTCGCCTATCTCATTCGTCCCCTCGTCTCTCGCCGTTCTTCTCGTATTTCGCGGTCGTACCCCTCTTCCTTCTCCGTTTTTTTCTTCGTCTCATCCCTGTATCCGCTTCCTGTTGGTAAAAGCGCTTAGCCATCTTGTGGTGTCCTACTCCTGCCTTGTTCTTCCTCCTCTTCCGTTTCCTCCTCGTCCTCCTCGTTTTTCGCCGTCATCTCATTCCTGATCTCTGTTTGCTGTTGATAAAAGTGATAGCCTCCCCGTGGCCTTGTACTCCTTGTTCTTGCTTATCTTCGTCGTCCTCCTTTTTCTTCTTCATCTCATCCCTGTTCTTGCTTCTCTTCCCCGTCCTCCTTTTTCTTCTTCATCTCATCCCTGTTCTTGCTTCTCTTCCTCGTCCTCCTTTTTCTTCTTCATCTCATCCCTGTTCTTGCTTCTCTTCCTCGTCCTCCTTTTTCTTCTTCATCTCATCCCTGTTCTCCGTTTGCTGTCGATGAAAGCACTCCCTATCTTGTTGTGTCTGTGGCACTGTGAAGGTCACTTCAGAAGTGTCGCGACTATGGCATCTGAGTGTCATGTATGTTGTTCTCTGGACAGTAGAACGTATTTGAAAACTTTACGTGTATTCTGGACGGAATGCAGAAGAACATGAGAACGCCTTCTGAAACGTGTTACTGATTTTGTATTGTTGCCTCAACTTTTTGGATGAATCTCTTCTTGTGTGTTGGCAGATCCTGTGATGAATTACTGCACATTGGCAGTGGGTAGTTCATCAGATCGTGCCACCTGGCGGTATCAGAGTCGCCGATTGTTCTCGTTGTGCTGCGCCCTTCTTGTGGGAGACAAAGTATGGGTTGAGAAAAACCGTAAAAGCCTTCTGGCTGACAGGAATGATCCTCACTTTGATGGGAGGGAGGCAGAGCGAGGGAAGAGCAGCAAGGATGTACTGGTGCATGTCTTGAGATTGATGCTGGAGCTAAGCAATGCAAAACTTTGGAAGTGTTTCGCTCATCCGCAGAGGGCGGTGGGAACTCCAGGTCGTGTTACGAGTGACGATGAGGTCATGCTCGGGGGGAACGAACTTGCTTCAAATGTGGTCCCTGTGATCGGGCAAGCTGAAGTGCCTGTCAGAGAGCTACTTTCGTGGCTTGCTGAGGGGCAGGCTGGATTGTACCCAGCGTTGCGGAGTTATGTATTACTGAATTGCCCCATACGGGAGGATGGTGAGCGCGACAGGCAGGCAGAAGCGAACAGGGGGATGTTGTCTGTGGAGGGAGCGAAAGTCGCACTCACGATTGGCATGAGAGTTGTTATTGTCCTGTGTGAGGAGCTCGGCAAGGTGGGGGAGAGACCGCCCGACCTAGTTACCAGCACTGACACCATGGAGTATTTGCCTGGCGCTGATTCAGATCATCCGTCTCCTTTCATGTCATCGACTTCGTCGGGTGCTGCTGCGGCGCGTGCTTCAGCTCAGTTGACTTGGTATTTGCTGACGATTCCCCTGCTGACAAAGCGCATTCCACTGGAGTTGCTTCCAAGGTTCCGGCATCCAGCGGTGCTGAGCTCATGCCTACGCACTCTTCGGGTGAGTGCATCGTTTAGCTACATCATCTCCTCTCGTGATTGCCGCTTCTCATTGCACGGATGGGTCCTCTTTGTTGGCTCCTTTGGCAGTCTGGAAGACCCAATGGTACAACAATTTGGATTGCTTTAATTTGCGTATCAGATGCATGGCATAGTGCAGCATTCTGACCAGGAATTAGAACCATTCCTGAACCAGGACTTTGAACCAGCGATTGGAACCCAGGAATTTGAACCAGGAGTTTAACCGGACCTCCAACAAGCGATTTGAGGGGGTAATTTGAGCTGGGAATCTGAATGGGAAATCTGAATGAGTAATTTGGACAGGGAATCTGAAATGTGAACGCAAATTTTCAACTGGTAGTTTGAGCAAGGAATGTGAAGTGGGAATGTGAACCCAGCTAACCTCAGGCATGTAAACCAGGAACCGCAGCAAGAAAAAATGAAGAGGACGAGTAAATTCGAATTCGACTCGTTGAATTGAGTGAGTGAATTTGAATTGAACGAGTATGATTTGGATTAAACGAGTAGTTTGATTTGAATCAACCAAGTATAATTTGAATTGAACGAGTATGTTTTGAATTGAATGAGTGCTGAAAGATTTGCTGGATGAGTCGTGAGGAGTGTCAGACGAGTGACAACGAGTCTTGGATGAGCGACGAGTGACAACAAATTCTTGAACAAGCGACATGTAGTGTTAGATGTGTTAGATGAGTGAAAGTGGGAAGGGGTGTTGGATGCCACTAAAAGTGGGAAGGAGTGTCGGATGAGCGACGAGTGACAAGGAGCACTGGATGAGTGACGAGTGCCAAGGAGTGTTTGATGGATGACGAGTGACGAGGAGTGTTGGATGACGAATGACAAGGTGTTGGATGTCAATTGACAAGGTGTTGGAGGACGAGTGACAAGGTGTTAGATGAATGACCACGGTCGTCCTCCGAACGCAACGCACCCTGAAAATGAATGTATACAAGTCATCTTTCTGGTTCGATGCAGCCAAAATGAGGGTGCGTTGTGTTCGGGAGAAGACTGTAGTGATGAAAGAGTGTTGGATGACTAAGTTTTGATGAGGAGTTTTGGATGGTGGAAGGCGGGGATAGTTGGATGAGCGGCAAGTTACAAACGACTGTTGGACGAGTGACAATTAGTGAAACGAGTGGCGAGGAGTGTCTCACGAGTGACAAGGAGTACTGGAGGGGGAGTGTTGGACGGGGGAGTAGCGGCAAGGAGTATTGGATGAGTGAGGAGTGGCAAGGGGCAAGGAGTGTTGGATGAGTGATGAGTGCCGAGTATTGGATGAGCGACGAGTTGTGAGTGTTGGGTGAGTGACGAGTGGCACGGACGGATTGTTGGGCGAGTGACGAGTGGCACGGATTGTTGGGCGAGTGACGAGTGGCACAAAAATTGTTGGGCGAGTGACGCGTGGCAAGGATTGTTGGGCGAGTGACGAGTGGCAAGGATTGTTGGTTGAGTGACGAGTGACAACGAGTGTTGGACGAATGACGATAGGCAGGTAGTGTCGGACAAGTGATGAGTGGGAAGGAGCGCTGGATGGATGACAAGTGAGGATGAGTGTAGGACAGCGAGTGACATGGTGTTGGACGAGGACGAGTAAGAAGCCATGAAAGATTGTTGGATGCATGGCTTGCTTCAGACAAGGCGTGCTGGATGGTGAAGGCTGGGGAGTGCTGGATGAGTTACAAGTGACGAAAGAATGTGGGACGAGTGACAAGGTGTGTCCTTGGGTCCCTGGAGATGGATAGAACTAATAAAAAAAAAAAGTAATCCCGGGTGAGAAGAGAGCATGAAATTTATTTCGACGAGTGACAAGGAGTCTCAGAGGAGTGTGTTTAACAAGGAGTTTTGAGGGGGGAATGTGAATGTGAACCAGCAAATCAAACCAGAGAGGGATGCAGATTGTGTGAAAATGGCATGACCAGTTGCAAAGAATTCCTATTGCCAGTGCACACTGTGCTCATCCTGTGCTGGTCTTGTTTGATATGACACAGACTCCTTGAAAATAGCCTTCGTTGATCTGAAAACGTTTTTGTGATTGCTGGGGTTCTGTGTTTTCAGTCTGTGTCCCTGGTTTGGCTTTGTTGGATTTATCCCCTATCTTCTGTGGCAGATTTGTTTGTAGGCACCACCATTCGAGTTCCATGTTGCAGTGTATGTAATTCCACTTGGGAGTGCCTGGTATCGTCTCTTTCATTGCAGCCTGTGCTGAAGGGGATTATCGGTGATAAACTCTTGTCTCTGTCTGATATTCTCTTGATGAGAAGCTCAAACGTGTTGTCCTTGACTTGTTGATCTACGTATGAGGCATGCACCGTTCAGCGAACGTCAAGACACTGTCAGTAAAAAAGAAAAAAAAAGGAAAAAAAAAGACACTGTCAGTGCTCTGCCAATTTGCAAGGTTCTATGACAACATGGTGCAGTCTTACCTGAAAGTCTTATGTGGCGTCGTTTGCATGATTGTGGTGTTTGTTTGGCCAATTGTTTGTACTCAGGTGCCTCTTCAGTCATTGGGAAAGGTTGCAAGCAGATCCAGCCCTTATGGAGCCTTCCTTGAGGAACATGACTCGCCGACTTCGGCTCCAGGAGGAGAGTACTCTTTGCTTCATCCAAGTGCATGGGCATTGTTCAATGTGCTCTCATTAGCTCATTCACGCAGTGGAGGAACACGCGGTGTCAGAGGCTTCATTCCAGGAGTTGTGCTGGGAGAGTACGTGCATGCTGTGTGCAACTTGCTGGATGAATGGCTGGCCTTCATGGAGGAGGAGCAGCAGTTGGGAAAGGGGGCAAATTGGGGAACCGATAACGAGGGGGATGGTGGGGAGATGCCCAAGCTGAAGCTTCCTCCTGTGGTTGAAGACGATATTTGCGTCATCGTACAGCAATGGCATATTGCATGTTTGTTTGAGAAAATGCTGCAGTTAGATTTCCAGCCGGGCGAGGAACGCTATGACGTTCAGCACCTTGGCCACATGTACCTTGGCTGGCTGCTAGTCCTTTCCTGGGAAGAGTCTAAGGTCGGAGGAACATTGCCACTCTTGCATGCACTTGCGTTCTCGCGAATCATGCGTCCAATCTTTTGGGAGTGGTTGGAACGAGAGATGGGGTTGGCCGATGTAGGTAAAATGGAGGATCAGTGGGAGGTCCCCTCTACCAAGAAGGGAGTGGAAGGATTGTCGAGAGATGTGACAGCGGTTCTAGGAGTGTTCTGTGCTGTGTACGCACATTTGTTGATGGTCGTGGATGACAGCGAGTTCTACGAAAAGCAGGTACGACTGCTACTCTCTCTCTCTCTCTGTGTCTGTCTTTTTAAGTTGGGACCATTTCTTGATTTGTACATGTCATGCTTGTGCAGGGCCATGCTGATCTTTTCTGTATCGTTCCAATTCTAATGGTTGTCCCGAAGGACTCTGCTCTCTGTTCTTTTTCTTTCTTTGTTGATTGTTTACGTATTGCAATTTTGCTTCTACAAAATATTGTCTGCTGATATTTTGTCACCTCTTCAAGCCCCACATGGCTACAGATGCATCACAAATGGTTCTGTTCCAAGTATGCCCTTATTTGGGCTATTTTAATTTTGCACATTGTGCTCGTTTCTCATGCCCGCAGTAGTGGCTTTGCGTCTTAAAAGCATGCAGCGGGGAAAAGGTTTCCGGTTTCATTTTCTCCGCTTTGTTTCCTTCTTATTTCTTTTGTTCTCAACTTTCTTTTTAATTACTGTCCTGGATGCTTACCATCTCGATGTAACGATGGGCAGGATGACTCTCCAGTGTCCTCTGCCTACGTGCGAGGATCCAGGCGAATACCCGGGGCGACCAACAAACAAACCCTCTCCATTCTGTCTCTGCGGTTCCCCCTCTCTATGCTTGGCTTTCTCACCCCTCTATCGTGTTCACACTTCGTCCCATCCCAGGTGTTTGTGAAGTGTTTGTGAGCCCACTTCACACCACCCCTCATCCCCCCAGTCTTCTGTGCAAGACATCTGTTGACCATCCTTGGCACTTCTGCTCCCCTGCCTCCCTGTCCTCGCTTTCGGTTGCAATCTATCGTGGAATGGTGGCAGTAACATCAGTTTTTCTTCCGCCTCCTCCTCCTCTCCTTCCTCCCATTGGTGGGCAGTCACAGTTGCTGTGTTAGGGGTGACTTAAATCACCCCACGACTGTTTTCTTATCCGCTGCATCCTCGTGTTTATGCTCTTCTGTTTGTCCGTCGTCACAGCTTTCCCTGAACCACTGTGTTATGGGCCCTGGCGATTATTGGTTTGTTCAAGATCTGGAAGAGCCTTTGATTTGAAAGCTTGACGCAACCGGTGCTGATTTCCCCCCAAAAGGGCCCAGTTACTGGGTAAACTTTTTTTTTTTTTTTTTTATAACTATTGACCAAGCAACTTCATCCTCAGCAGTCCAGCAGTGGCACTGGGCTTGGACTGCGTACCTGTACATAATCATGTGACCATCCCAGGTGTCGAAAAGTTGCTGTCATTAAGTGTGGGGGTGGTGAGCACAATGTAACACTGCCGGTCCTTTTTTTTTTTTTTTTTTTTTAATGATTGCAACCGCCCAGTGAATGACTGCCCTGTCACCCACTTCAAGAATCAGGAGTTTCTACGACTTTTGGCCTCGGTACACTACTCACCAAATGTCCAAAATAGAGAACGTATCTTCCTCTAAAATGTGGAAAGATGTACACACCCGCGATCGGTGTGGCGAGGCAATGTGATGCCGCCTAGTGATTTAATCTACTTCCACAAAAGTTGTGCATGAGCAACAACTCACTTTCCATGATTTGTCATGTTCATGTGGACGTCGCCACGATGTCAAATCTCTGAAGCGTCTATTATCTCGGAAGTTTGACATCCAGTTGTTGTCTTTGTAACCACTGGTTCTCCATGCTCTTGTCCCATTCTCATGCTACTTGTGTGCATTTCCTGTTCCCTTTCCCATTCCAGTTTGTGACCATCTATATATAATCTCAATGGCTGTCTCTCCTTCCGTTATGGCTGCTCGCTAGCTTTCTGAGCACACCCAATCACGTCCCGTTCGAGTTTCTCTCTGACACAGTTCATGTTCATGTGCACATGATTTGCCTTTTGCAGGAACCATTCAATTTGGAGAAGCATAGAGTGATTGCTGCTACCCTCAACAGCCTAGTGTACAATTCTTTGCAGCCGTTAAGTTCTTCTGCGGGAACAGTCTCTGGCCGTTCTTCTGGTGGATCAGCTGGTGCATCCTCCTCCTCGGTCCCAACCTGGCCTGGTCGAGCACTGCAGCATACATTTCTCCTTGATGCGACTACAAAACTTCTACGGTCCCTGTATGAGCGTGACTGCCGTAGGCCGTTCTGCCCGCCATCTCTGTGGCTAGCACCAGCAGTAGCTTCGCCACCGGCGGTTTCAGCAGAGGGGAATAAAGGGAAAGACGGTCCTATACTGGACCTTGTCCTATCGAGCATTCCTCACGTGCTTCCCTTTGAGCAAAGGTGATCCATCAATCGGTCTTTTATACCTTCCCCTTTGTCCTCGCTTTCTCCCTTCCCTTCCTCCCCTCTTCCATCTCCCCTTCTCACCTTTTCTCCCTCGTTCCACATGCTATCTTCCTCCCCTCTTTCTTTCTTTCTTTTTTTTCTGAAAAAAAAAAAGCGACCCTTCTGGCTTCGGTGCGCATATTCATTTTGGGGAGCGTCACTGTGGTTCCTATTACACCGGCAAGTCAAAATACAAAATACGATGCACTCCTGCTAGAGTGACCCGAGTGAGCGGCATTGATGACGTCCAATTTCAAAGGATGTACCTCCTCTCGCCCCTGCCTAAGTTAGCCTTGTAGCATCTATTGCTACCATCTCCCCCATGCAACACGGCCTCAAGTTGTCCTTCAGTGTGCTCGGGGCCGATTGGCCGCGAAACCCCTAACCCTCAGGGGCTTTTGGTCCTGTGCGTGTCGTCTTCTTCCTCTCTGATATACTGCCACCTGCCAGCAGTCCTGAAGGAGCGTCTACGAGTGACCCTGAACCTCTAGTGACCTGGGAGCTCTTGGCCCCGCACTGTGGTCCTGGTTGTCTTATCTGCGGGTGCAGGCACCAGCACTACACAGCGCTTGCCACCTGGTGTACCCCGGGGTCTCAACTGTCCCAGCTGTTGGAAGATCTCTTATTGGAGTCTGATGACCGAACCTAGACAGTCGCCTGGACGTCTCTGACCGGCTTGACCTGCAAATATGCAGACTGTTGTTTTCTGAGTATTGCTGCATGTTGGTCTGATTTCCTGAGATTTCCGTGTTCAATCCCATCTATACCCCCAACCCGCCCTAGGTGGGTATCTCACAGTTCAACATCTCAGAGAAATACAATGCCGTTCAATTGCAACTGAAAGGAAAAAGATTCAGAAGAGAAATAGGAAAAGGAGGAAGAAGAAATAAGAATGGAAGAAGAAAAAGGCAAAGAAGATGAACACTTCTCACTCATCTTGCCACCAGCTCCCTCCTCCAGCAACTCCCCCAACATAACCAATAACAATGAATGAACGGACCAGAATCCAATAACAATGAATGAACGGACCAGAATCAATGTTCAAATCCTCCCCTTGCGGCCAGCCACTCAAGAAGTCCACCATAGTCATCCTACACCTTCTTCCACTACTTGGCTAAGCTGGTAGCTATGTCAGACCGTCCGAGCCTGGCTCCGATGTCCGGAGGACAACGTGACATTACTCTTCCTCTCCCACTGTTATGTGCTTGATTGAATTTTCATCTGACGCTGCAGCCAAATGTTCCCATACACATCGCTGGAGAGAGCAGATTCACACCAAACCAAGGGAGAGAGGGCACACCGCGGAAGCACACTCCAAAATAGAATTGAGAAATTGTTTTCAATTCTTAAATTTCCCCCTGCTCTCGCCACCTCAGTCAAGTTACCCCCAAGAATCTCAACCACGATTAAAACTACAGCACCCCCACTCAACCCCCAACAGTTCTAACGAAAGACCCCCGAATCTTCTTCTTCATCCCCCTCAATACCACTCGGCTATGGCACAGTCCCAACTGCTGCGCTCATCCCATATGATCCACTAAATGCCACACGCTGGTCCAGTGCCCAATTCAATCCCCACCAATCAGATGGCGCCTTCTGGAATAGCAGTGCCAGTCCTTGTGATGAAGAAGATGGTATACAACGTGGAAGAGGAACTTTTCAGCAGCTATGGAGAGGGAGCTGACAACCCCAACCACCAAGTAGCACCACGACGATGAGGATACACAGCGCCATGTGAACCTCCACCTCCGCTGCCTCAAAGAGCTGGGCAAGCCCCAGCTATGGCCGCCCACACACCAAGGAGAAGATTCCACAGCTGCACGCTGGATATAGCGAAATCCGTTCCCCCAACATCGCAAACCAAGCAAAATGAGAAAAGGACCCGAAGCAATTTGCCCAGCTCCTATTCTAAACTCAGCCTCAACCTATCGTAACCTAACCTAAGCTATGACTTAGCTCAAGGCACACGGGCCTACTGACCAGTACCTACGACCTGTCTGCATCTAGACTAAAAAGCGCCAAAACTGGACAGACACACAAAAAAAAAAGCTAAAAAGTGCCAAAAATTGTAGAAATGTCCCTCTCGAACACCAGGCCGAAAACAGGCACAGGAAAGGGCCCAGAACTCACCAAAAATTATAAACCTAATCCGATCTATCGTAGAGCGCTCGGAAGGACTGCAATTCATTGCATCATTATGGCCGCCATAGCACAATCTGCCCCCGGAGTCTTCCTCTCAGGTATTGCCCCACATGAGGTCGTCCAGGTGCAGCGCCAACCAAGAGGATGAAGATGCAGACCACCATAGCCAAGGTAAGATCCTTTACTCTCCTCCTCCTCCCTCCTCCTCCTCCTCCTCCTCCTCTCTCCTTCCTCCTGGGCCTCCACCATATCTTGGTTCTCCTACCTCCACCTTGGTCACCTCCAGCATAGCCAAGGCAGGGCCAAGCTCCGCCTCCTTCCGTCACCCAGCGCACCACTGGACCGGTGAGAACCCAGCAGCCTCATGGCTTGCTGCCTGAAGAATGAGGCGGAGTGCTTCGCCGCAGAAGGAGCACTCCCCCGCGGGCACTTTCCAGTGTACCCAGCCTCTCGGCCTACCGGTTCCCTCCCCGCTTTTTGTCGAGAACATCGTTGCAGTCTGAGATCCTCTTTCACAGGTTGTAGACCCTTGCCTACCGGACCGGTATCCAAATCTCAGCCTACCAGACTTCTAAATTACTACCCGGCCTACAAAGCAACTACGTTTTATCTGCTACCCTACCCGCTGCTTCATGATTTTGGCCTCCGGGGCCTCCTCTAACCCACTCTACCTGCTTCACCCCCCCCACACACGGTTATAGGTTAGTACCAGGCCAGCGGGCCATGCAGGCCACACACACGCCAGCACTCAAGACTACAGCAAGCACCATACAATGACAGGGCACCACAGTTAAATTCTGTCTGGGCTTTGCCCTAATATGTCCTTCCCCCTTTCTGCAATCTTCATGCAGTCGATATAATTGAAGCGGCATGTGATGGATTGATCACAAAGCGAGTAATGCCTGTAAGGGTGTGTATTCGCAGCGAGTTTTTTTGGCTGAAACACATCTTAAGTGTAGTTTGCGTTTGTATGTGCATTTGCTTGCAAGTCTCCTTAATAATAAGGTAACCCCTAACGTTATTGGAACCGGCAGGATTTGAACTCTAGATCTGTTGAGCAGTAATTACAGGTGTGCGTCATTGAGAAGCACCAAATTGCGACTGTCCATTGTAATTCATATAAGTGTGTGCTGTCCTTTTTAATGGGCTTTTCATGATATTTAGTTTTTGCTTCCAAGCACTGAGGAAACTGTAGATTATTGCTTGGGGAATGTTGGGTGGATTAACACAGGGTACTGATCTTCCGCAAGCGCGTCAATGACGACAAGATCCAGCATGGCCATGGGGAGGGGGGGCTGGGAACAAGGACCCGAGTCCACATTGAAGTGAGAAGGGATAGGATAATGGAGGATGGCTTTGCGCAAGTGAACAAGCTCGGTTCGAAAATGAAGGGTCGAATTAGCGTTTCCTTTGTGAATGAGCAAGGCTTGGCTGAAGCCGGAATTGATTACGGTGGCGTGTTTAAGGAATTCCTCACGGACCTTGCAAAGACTGCGTTTGATCCAAGGTTAGTTTCTGGGAAAACCAACTCTTACCTTCTCTTTCATCTCCTTTCTCACGTTCTCTCTCCCTTCAACCTTTTTGCTGATCATCTCCTGTGATTCATCTTCTGTCTCCTCTCACCTTCTCCTATCTTTTTCTCATCTTTTCTTCTCTTCTTCTTCTTCTTAAAATTGGCCTGCTGTAAATGCCACACGACACTATTCTCTGTTCTCCCCCCCCATGTTGCAGAATGATCCTCAATGCGGTTCCCTTCCCCTTACCCTCGTTTACTGCAGAGTGGTCATGAAAGCTCCCCTCCCCTTCGCCCTCTTTTTTCTGCAGAATGGTCATCAATGCGTTCTTCGTTCTCCCCGATCTCTCCTCCTCCTCCCCAATTCTCTCCTCCTCCTCCTAGATGCCCTTCCCCTCCTCGCCCTCTTTTGCTCCGGGGTGACTGTCAGTGTTCTCCTCTCCCTTCCTGTCTTTTGCTACCGAATGGTCGTGAATTTTTTGATTTTTTTCTCAATTCCCTCCTCCCCTTTCTCCTCTTGTCCTGCAGAATGATCATCAATGCTCTCGTCCCCTTTCTTCTCTTTTGCTGCAGAATGGACGTTAAAGTCCTGCCCCCCTTGTTCTGCTACTGAATTAGTTGCCAGCTGTCAGATCTGTGTGCTGGGGTCCTACTGATCCCCGGTGCACCTGAGTCGTGGTGGTGTTGAACGGCTCGCGTGGAACTGCTTGTGTAAATGCCCAACCATGTTGATCGGTTTCTTTAGTGGGGGTGTTCAGGGGTGGGGGAGCAGGGTGGGTGGCTCTATCCTGGTTCATCGGTTTCTTAGTGGTGGTGTCAGGGTTTGGGAAGCAAAGTGCGAAAATGCCGCTTTGATTCTGTTGAACTCTGGTTCACTAGTTTGCTTAGTGGGGGTGTTGAGGGTTGGGGAGTATGGTGGGTAGCGGCAGGGCTGGCGGGTGGCTGGATCCGTCATGGTGATGATGATGATGATGATGAAGGTGGTGGTGGTGGTGGTCGTGGTGGTGGTTGCGGTGGCCGTGGTGGTCGTCATGGTAGTGTTTGTCTAGGGCAGGGAGGAACAACGCCGTTGCAACGGAGGTTGAGCACATATAGCCAGAGTTAAACTTAGCAGCAGCCACCACCGCCACGACAGCAGGTAGAGCAGCAGCAGCAGGAGCAGGAGGAGAAGATAGGAGGAGGAGGTGTGGTCGTTATGATCATGTTTTTCTAGGACGGGGAGGAACAACGGAGGTTGAACACATATAGCCAGGGTTGAACTTGGCAGCAGCCACCACTGCCACCGCAGCAGTTGGAGCAGCAGCAGCAGGAGGAGGAGGAGGAGATGATAGGAGTTGTGGTCGTTAGGATAGTGTTTGTCTAGGACGGGGAGGAACAACAGAGGTTGAGCACATCTACCCAGGGTTGAACGTAGGACAGGAGCAACCGCAGAAGCAACAGCAGCGGCAGGAGGCGAAGATAGGAGGAGGAGCTGGATAATTCTCACTGATTATCCCGGTCAAAAACTAGACGTGATTGTATGACCCCCCTTGTGCTGCAACAACAAAATGAAGAAAGACACAAATAAAGGATGCTAAATGTTTGGCTGACCCACGTACTAAAAACCGAATTGAGTCTGACTAATCAGCCTGTTACGAGTTCAAAATTTGTCGACTGATCTGTAGTCTCCCTTAACTTGTCTTTTTAGATGGGAAATTGAAGTGGCAACATCTGGGCATGGGGAAGCTCAAGCTTGTGGCACTACAAACTTGACACCTACCGGGTAGCCTGCCTGGACCTGAAATTGGGTATGTTCCCAAGGGTCCATACGATGGATATGCTGGCATGACTGACAAAGATCTTGTGATTCCGGTCACCATAGGCCATAGTTGCATCTCCTGGTCTTCAATCTATATATCCTCATCGTGGTCCTCTTACCCTCGTTGTCATCACATCATCACTTTTAGGTGGAGGGCTGTTCAGGAAAGCATTGCCCATTTGCCCTCTCCGGCAAGACTCTGATGGGCAGTTTTCCTCTGATGACAATGATGATGATGATGGTGATGATAGGATGTTGGGGGAATAGGGGCACAAGATTCCAGCAGGTAGGGTTGCAGTAGAAAAAAGTGCCTATCAGAGGGGGAAGGAAAAAGTGTGGCTTCTCTTGTGGGCGTTGGGTGTCTGCCCGCGTGTGCTTGCCCGCCTACTAGGTTCACCTGTTGGCAATTTGACGTTGCCTGTGCAGCTGTCATAAGATTTTTGGGCAGAAAGGTGAGTAGGAGGGGGAAGAAGAGGGGCAGGGCAAGAATGGACTTGATCTAACATAAAGCTGTTAGGACAGAAGAGTGTGATTGAAGGACAAGTTGGTGTCTGGCCTGCGTTGGATTTGAGGGGTTCGTCTGCTAGCAGCGGTACAGAGCCTAGTAATATGCAGGGCTGAGTGCATGGGGTCTTCTCCGTGGCGGGCCGGGGCCTGCTGCTCAAGGAAGGCCTTGATCGTTTACTGGCACTGAAAGCACTGACATTCAGAGAAGTGTGTAGTCCGAAGGGCACATGAAAATGATAGATTGGAGAGGAGGCACGTTGTGGCAAATGGCAGAGGGGTCAGGCGTTCAGTGGGACGAGGGCCAGAGGGTATTTTCCAAACAGTTGACCATTCGAACTGTCGGGAGCAACGGACGTGCAAAAGAAGTTTAAAGGACTCTTTCCTGCAGATTCCGAAGCAATTCATAAAATGTGTCGGATGCATGGCTCCAGATGTCCCTTGTTCAAGCCTTGGCTTGTTGCAGGGCTGCTGTTCGGTCAGATGGCAAGTAGACGACCCCTTCCTTTCGCGTACGGTAAGAGAGGCCATATGAGAATGGAAACGATTGTTGGTCTTAAGGTATTGCTTAGGGGCAGGTCCCACTGAACTATGTTTATGTGGATGGTTTGGAAATTGAAAGTGAATGCTATTATATCACGATCTGCCACGGCCAGTTATGCACATGCTCCTTAGCTCGTAGTGGCTGCTATTGCGCTTCCTTTGCGAACTACGACTGATAAAGTGAGGCTCTAGCTGTGGTCTGCATTTTTGGATGCCATAGCCGGCTGTGTCATCTGCGTTTGTTCGATGTATTACTTTCACAAACTTGTTCAGAATGCGTCAGCCGCGTAGAGTTACATGGGTAGCAGTATTCAGATACCTAAGGTTGGCTCTGATTGGGTGTTTTAGGGCAGTTATGTTGACCTCTGGTTGCAGCTTTTACGCGTGCGATCTTAGGGCTGGTTGGGCAAAGCCAGCTGTCATCGACACCGCAAACGGGCTATGAATATTCCTGTCTCTCTTGATTGCCAAGCAGGTGCAGTTTAAATGAAACATGTATGGTACAGCTCTGTTGATCAATCAGCTTATCACTGGCTCTTGCTGAGTTGAAGTTTTGTGTCTGTCGGTACTAGGACTCTCTTCCTCCAGGTCAGTATCTGTACAAGATGTTCAACAACAGAACCGAACCAAGTCGCGATAGAAGTCGACATGCGGTTTTGTTGATGAGTGACTGTGAACCTGCAAAATGCAGGTCCGTTGAGTGGCAGATAGTCCACCCCGGTCTGCCCACAGCGGACTGGATTATTGACAGGACAAAGTTGGAGACAACAAAAGGTTTGGGTCTTCCTTCTGGCGGAAACATTGTCTGCGATGCCCTCTCTCTTACTGCAAATGTGCGGTCAGAAAGATCTGTTGGGGTGTCAGTTGCAGTAGAATGGGCAAGACGGGGGCCAGACACTGCTGTCATCATTTGTGTTGTGTAAGAAGGGATGGGATTGTGGTGATACGGTGGATGCATCCAGATTCCAGTGCCATCCTTCCGCAGTGTTGCTGAATGTCCAAATTTATCATGACTGCTGATTGTCCAGATTTTTCATAAAGGACCGCTGAATGTCCCAATTTCTCACAAAGGAGGTGACTGATACAGACAACGTGAATTTTATTGAAGGGGTCGGGAATGTACGTCTCGTTTGGGCTTTCCCTTACTGTGTGAAACTTCTGTGTCTGTCAGTATAGGGGCTCCATTCATCTAGGTCACTTTCTGGACAAAATACAGTTTAACAGCTGAACTGCTGTCTCTAGTCACCACGGAGGTCCACATGAGTTCTGTTGATATATGCTTTGTCGGCCCTTCTTTTGGCGTTTTCTCTATTCCTTACAAGCACTGTATATATTGAATGGCCATGGAGTAAGGAGCTCATAGATGTAACTCTGCTGCCTCGGTCGTTTTGCATCGGGAATGTGTGCTGAGTGCCAGTCGGAGCTGTGGAGCACTGTCTCAACCTTTTCCTGTACAGCATTAATTATTTAGTAATTGCGCAAAGGTCAGGTTTTATGCAGCTAGTCCTTGTTTCTGCATTCGTTTCATTGGGGGGAGGGAGAGGGGAAAGAGGTGGAAGCGGGCTGAATGCATAAGGTGTGTATATCGAACAGTGCGGCACACAGGGGGGTGACGGCCCTCTGTCTCTCTCTCTGTCTCTCTCTCTCTCTCTCTCTCTCTCTCTCTCTCTCTCTCTCTCTCTCTCTCTCTCTCTCTCTCTCTCTCTCTCTCTCNCTCTCTCTCTCTCTCTCTCTCTCTCTCTCTCTCTCTCTCTCTCTCTCTCTCTCTCTCTCTCTCTCTCTCTCTCTCTCTCTCTCTCTGTGCGCAGGACTCCACTCTCCACTGTTCTATTTGAAGATCTCTGTTGCGGCTGGGTTCATGCACAAATGTGTCAATCAAATTCAGAAAAGAAAAGAGAACCACCTGTGGGCCTGTGGCCGGAGATCCTGAGGATGCAACCACAGAGATCGGATGACAGGTGATGGCGGTCTGCATCAATTGGATCCCAAAAGAGAAAGACATTGCACGTCCACGCAGCAGAATGCGTGTGGATGGAGGGCGTTTGCATCGAGGTGCCCCCAAACTTGTTCCTCCTTGTCCTCTTCCTATTCCGCATCTCCCCCTACTGTATTCCCCTTGAGACTGTGCCCCCTCATCATGACGATATTGGACTGAATGGATAGCTTGTACATGATGTGGGTGTGTTGTGTTTGCGGGAAGGCGGTAGTCCTCCCCCACTCCTCCTTGTCCTCTTCCTTCTCCTCCTCGTCATTAGTGTTTTGGTTTCATCAACTACTTGTTTTGTTTGTGTTTGCGTGTGTGCGCGGGTATGTGTGTCATGGAAAACTGCGGCACCCTGTTTGGCGCTGCACGGTTCAGTTTACCCTTATCATTTTTTCTTTTCCGGTCTCTGTGGTGGGAAGCATGGCCGTTCAGTGTTTTTTTGGGTTTCACTTTGTGGGGGTGCGAGGAGCTGTTCAGTGGCTTCTTCATTTCATTTTTCGTTTTTTCTTTGTCTCTGGCGAACGTGACGCAACGTGGGCAAGACAAACAAATGGCCCAGCGTCGGAATGCAAGTGCAGAGGGAGAGATAAAACTCGAAACGAAATGTGGGGATGTCTACAAAAGAAGTTGTCGCCACTTAGAACTGGTTTCCCTGGGTTGGGCACTCCACACGAGGTGTGGCTCAGGTTTGCTTTTAGGGAGTAAGGTAGAAGTAGGGAACAAATAAGACAATGTGTCGATGTCAGAAAATATCCCAAGCATCTCAGATCCTGCGCGGTTGCAGCATATGCTGTCGTCAGGTGCTTGCCCAGAAGGTTTACAATGGAGGCGTGTTTTGGCCTCTATTCAGGGTCTTGCAGGCTGGTGGAGCTTCCATAAGTGCTCCTAGTTCATGCTTGGTTTCCCTTTTGTCCTTCTAAACAGAATCTTTTTTCTGGAAACATAACGAAACTATCTATGTTGTTGCTGGTGGAGCTGAAGCTGTTTCGGTTTTGTGTTTTCTTGGGGATCTACACCACAACTGATTCTCATTATCACACCCAAAGACACTTAATGGCAGGTGATGTCCATTGCCTGTATAGATTTGTGGGGTGCAGTCCGGTGTCCGTCTCTTCTTTGTTGCATAGTTGTGAAAGCGGCCCAACTGATGATGAAATGATGACGAAAAATACCTGAAACGGAATTGCATGCTCCTAAATTCTCATCTTAACCCATCATCCTATTCATGCAAATTGGGTTGGCTCTCCTTGCGCTGGGTGGTGAGAATCTTCTGCAGGTCATGTGCTAACAAGAATGAAAACCGGGCGCAGATACGGGCTGTTTGTGCAGACGGCGACTGAGGAGGGGCTACTCTACCCCCATCGAGCTGCGGCATCTCTCGAAATGGGCTTGCCAATGATGGAGTTCTTGGGACGGATTGTCGGGAAGGCGCTGTACGAGGGCATCCTGCTTGACTACAACTTCTCGCCGCTGTTTGTCGCCAAGCTGATCGGCCGTTACAGTTTTATTGACGAGCTTGGATCACTGGATGCCGAGTTGTATCGTAACCTTATGTACCTGAAGGTGGGTGCAACTGTTTCCAACTCTCTTCTCTGAACTTCTGGCTCCCTCACAAGCCGTATGAGGACAGCTTCGCCCTCGTTCATTCCTACGCTCTGAGGTGGATGGGCCTTTAGCGTCTGGTTTGCTTCATGCTATTCCATTGTAGGTGTCCATAACTTCATGGGTAACTTCATGGGTAACTTGATGGGTATCAGTGCAACAACATGGTGTTTAATACTGTTTACAACTTTACAATGAATCTGGCCGTGTTTCCACAAGTCCTGTCTTACTACTACTGCCCCATCCTTAAACCCCCTTTCCAACCCCCTTCTTGACTGTCGTCCACCCATTCCCCACCCTTTCCTCCCTCTTTGCTGGATTCGTCAAAGATGCTTGATGTTCTGTCTTTTCTTTGTCTGTTTCTTCTGGAACCGTGCTGGAAACTAGGTAGTGAGCTATGTGAGGTATCATTTTTCTCTCGTCTCATGCTGCCTGTGCCGATGACCGTTGTATTTCATGTTCTGTGTGGTGACCTTGATCTTCGCTCTCGGTGATTTATTTTGCATTTAACGCCTCCGCTTTGGACCTTTGAGCCCACTTGTGACCGAAGTGGAAACGCCATGGCAGTTGATTTCAGCCTCGAGGGGGGTTTCAGTTCAGGTTCACTCGATATCTGCTTACCGAAGTGGAAATGCCATGGCAGTTGATTCAGCCTCGAGGGGGGTTTCAGTTCAGGTTCACCCGATATCTGCTTACCGAAGTTGTATGCTTGATTCCACGGGCTACCCCCGTGAATCTTATCATGATTCTTTTTTTGTATGTGAACACTGAACACCAGCCTGTTTGAAGTTCAGTAAAGTAGCTGGTCACTCTAGGCTGTTCCTCAAGACTGCTCTTGTATGCCGTGCAATACAGATGGCCACCTGAACTCCACAAAGACAGGCCATGTGAACGTCAAAAGTGCTTGGTTTAGGGGATCACGACGAGTGTTCAGCATGAATGACGTCGATCTTGTGAACTATATCTGACATCCACAACGGGAGTTCAGGTAGCATGCTGTTCACGGTGTCTGGACTCCGGATGCAGCGGATGAATTCATTATCTAACGACGCCACACAGAGGTTGATCTGCTTGGCACCCGAGCACCGAAGTTTGGCACATGGGCACTTCATCACCTTGGCATTTCTCCAGTGTCAGTGGAGACGTAAGAAGTGGGTGATAACATGAGATAACAAATTGGTGAAGGGAATGCAGGGGATCGGCACTTGTGTAGAGGCTAAAATGGCTGGCAATCAGGTTGTGGGTACACGTCCTGTTGAAAGCAACAATCCTATAAAGGCCAACCCTTTTCCACTCTTACCAGTTTCAGCCTTCTTATAGTAGTTGTAACAAGTGGATGGTACTTGCGCATGCATGTCCTGGTGAAGTAACTGATGTTGTGCTGATTTCTACCTTTTGTGATTGCAGCATTATGAAGGGGATGCAAGGGATCTGGCTCTTGATTTCACTGTTAATGAAGAACTCTTTGGCAATCGAATGGTGATTGAGCTCCGACCGGGTGGCGCAGACATTCCTGTCACCAACGAGAACAAGCTTCAGTATGTTCATGCCATGGCAGATTATCGGCTTAACAAACAGGTGATCCTTCGCTATTCATATGTTCTCCCCCCCCCCTCAACCCCCAACGTCAGGTTCCCTTGCACACTTCGGAACCTGAAAGCGAAGTTCCGTTTTCTTTTCCCCACACTAGTCCCATCAGTTTCCCATCACTTTGTAGTGTGCTTGTTTCACCCTCAAGTTTGATCTGCCCGTACAGCTTGTCGTGCTCCTATTGGCATTCAGAGCAGCCGGAATGGTGCGGACACAAATGGATATCGTGAACTTGAATAAAGTGGTCAAAGAGAGACAGGTTCATTTTAAAAGTGTCCAAGTTACTCAGAGATCCAGAGTGAGGAGGAAGGGAAAGGAAGGGAGATCCAAGAACTGACATATAGGAACAGAGCGAAAAGGACTACTCTTCAGGGCCTAAACAAAAAAAAAAGGGTATATGCAAAAATAAACCAGTTTGGAACTTCGGACTGAATGAACACAAATATGGCGAAGTGGCAATAATCGCGTAGTTCTTTTTCGTTGATTTCAGTAAATGGAGGCTACGTTGTACCAATTGCAGGTCCTATGTGTTGCTGACGAGTTTCGTGTATTGCCTGACGAGTTTCAGGACTATACACTACTCTAGACTCTCGGAAATTTTCGAGAGCTGTCAGTCGTGAGAGACCCTCGAAAACCACGCCGTCACTCCACTTACTTGGAAAAAGCTCTAGTTTTTAGATAGTGTGAAGACGACACTAGGGGACAAGTCTAGGCTGGTCTGCCCACCTGCAGGCGGGTGACTCGCAACATTTTGAGAGTGCCCTTCTAGTGTGTGGTCTGACAACTCTAAAATGGATGTCTGCCTCGCGAGTGCCAATCGAGAGTAAGCGCAGCGATGCACTGCACTAGACGTTTCGAGAGTCTAGTGTAGTGCAGTGAGGCCCCATATATGTATTGCTGAATTGATGACGAGTTTCAGGACACATATTGCTTACAAGTATTTGTAATATTCAGAGTTAGGGTGAGTTTGTCATCTTTTTCGGGTCCTTTTTTGTACCCTACTACCCTAGGCAATTATATTCAGAGGTTAGGCCATGTTCTTTGGCGTTTTCTGGTTCCTGTGTTTTATGAAACTAAGCTATAATCTTCTCTCAATCAATATACCTTCAGGAGGTAGGGGTCTGCTTTCTGGTTTCTACTTTGTTATCGTTGGCACTTGAAATATGGCTAATAATAGCCTAATACTTTACATTATCCATTCAGCTATAGGTACATTTGCTTGCAGTCTCAGGAGGTTGTTTTAGGTTATGTTCACACTGAAGACTTTTTCGACCGCATCTGGTCTCAATTACAAGCAGATTCGTTCAGGAAAATCCTAGTGTGAGAATGCCTTTAGGCTTTAGGGACTGAAACTTCAAAATAGTTGCAACAGGTAATGGTACCGATGTAACTTAACAGCAGGTCACTATGGGAAAGCGAAGGAAATGATATATGGACCTAGCTTTCCAGCCCGGGCGCCCCCCCCCCCCCCCCCCGGGCAGGCACCCGGGCACCCCCAGCGCCACCCCCCCAAAACGTCAAAAAAAAAATTTGGCACCGCAGGCCTACGGCCCAAAGGGGGGAAAAAAATTAGACGGCGGCCGCAAAAATCCCCCCCCCCCCCCCCCCCGGGCAGGCACCCGGGCACCCTCAGCGCCACCCCCCAAAAACGTCAAAAAAAAAATTTGGCACCGCAGGCCTACGGCCCAAAGGGGGGAAAAAAATTAGACGGCGGCCGCAAAAATTTTCCGCCCTGTTTCATGGCTTTTTTTTTTTTTGTGCCTTGGCTGTCGATCTGCGACGATCCTCTTATTCTTAGTCTCTTCAGTTCTTTTTCTTCTTTTCGTTTCKTCTTCTACTTTGTCTTGCTCTTCTTCTTGTTGCTCCTBCATCAGTCTTTCCTCCCTCCACRTAGTCGSCCTCTCCTTCCTCCACCATCTCCTCCCTCCACATCAGTCTCCCTCTCGCCCCCATCCTCCTCCATCAGTAAACCTCCCTCCACATAGTCTCCCTCTCTCCTTCCTCCGCCATAGCTCCCTCTCTCGTCCTCCACGTCAGGCTCCTTTCCTCTGCCATAGTCTCCCTCCTGCCTTCTCCTCCTCCATCAGTCTCCCTCCCTCCTCCTCCTCCGGCAGAGCCTCCCTCACTCCCCCCCCTCCTCCCGCCACATGGTCTCCCTCCTCCATCCAGATAAATAAATGTGCCCATCCCTCCTCCGTCACAACCTCCCTCCTCCTCTTCCCTCTCCATTGGCTCCCTCGGCCATAGACTCCCTCCCTCTCCACCGCCATAGCCTCCATCCTCCCTCGTCCCTCTACKGSCAYAACCTCCATCCTCCCTTCTCCCTCTCCCTCCATAACCTCCTCTTCCCTCCTCCTCCGCCATAACCTCCTCTTCCCTCCTCCCTCTGCCATAACCCCCTTCCCCCCCCCCCAAACACACGGAAACCAACATGCCTGAAAAAAAGAAACGACGTCGGATTTGGGCTGTACTTGGAAAGCGCAGCAAGGCCCTGCAGGCCAAAAATAAATAAATAAAAAATTCAGTGTTTTTTTTTCATGCCCGGGTAGCCCGGGCGAGGTCCCTACCCGGGCGTGGCGCCCGGGACGCCCGGCCGGGCGCCCCGGGAAAGCTAGGTATGGACAGACAGAGATCGGGTAGATCTTGTGCCAATCCAGCAGAGCCAAGTGAACTGTGTGGAGGTTGTGAGGGAGGGTACACATGTTTTGTTGTGCCTCTTCCTACTGCCCTTTGAATTTGGTATCACTTTGTGAAGTTTGTGTCCATTTCTCAGCCAATGATTTCACAGTTTGCTTAACCATAAGTTATCTCCACGCTGAATTACAGTGACTATAGTCTTCCCTCAAAGAGAACATATGGTCATTGTAGCTGTATTTTAGCCAACTTTCAGTCTAGATACTGCGATAAAGACTACGTTTCATTCAGGGGAAGACGGTAGTGGATGAGGCTTGGTATGTACAGTTGGCTGGGCCATTCCACCACAAGTTATCTCATACCTGAAGCTATCCAATTACTGAATAGCTCACAATCTGACAGGAGATGTCGTCGCTTTTTCTGTGCAGATGAAACATGTGACGTCTGCTTTTGTCAGAGGCTTGTCAGACCTGATAGATCCGAGGTGGCTCCGCATCTTCAATGCAAGGGAATTCAACCAGGTAAGCTTGTCTCCATATCGGTTTGATCATGTGCAAAGGCATAGGAGGTTTGATCATGTGCGAAGGCATTGGTGGTCATTTCAAACCAGTCCTTTTCAGGGAGCTCTGTTTTTGTGCATGTGTGCGTGATCTGTATGTGTGTGGGTGTTTTTGTGTGTAGAGGATGTGTGTGTGTGTGTATGGAGATGTGTGTGTGTGTGTATGGAGATGTGTGTGCAACATGTTTGCGTATGTCCCCAGCATGGTATAATGCACTGTACCAACGCAACACCTCAGGAAGAAAATATGCTTCGGAGTGAGTCAAGTCCTTAGATGACCCTCGAAGTAATACGACCAAAGAATGCAGAAGCTACACGGGAAAAAGCGGCAAGGCTACAAGGCGAAAGGGAGTGGCTGAAAAGGCAGCGAGGCAAAAAGCATAAGGCAAACAGCAGAAAGGAAAGAGGTGCAGCAAAAGGCAGGGAGGTATTGCATTGAACAGCAAGCGGCAGCAAGGCGCATAGGTGGAGGGCACGGGGGAGGCAGGTGGCCAGACGAGCAGCACAAGGCAGCAAGGGAAGCGGCAGTGAGCTAAACAGAAGCAAGGCAAAAGCAGCCAGAGGCAAAAAGCAGCAAACAAGAAAATTACAAGTACAACAAAAAAACCCGAGTACAACAAAAAGACAAAGAGCAAAAGAAAACAGAACTGGTGATGATAGGTTGTTTTGTTGGATTGGCACCAACTCATCAGGAGGCTGAACCGTCAACACAATCTCTGGAATCCCCATATTGATGCTTTGAGTTATGAACCCTTTGACTCGAGTTTTGACTGACTGCAGCACAAGCAGCAAAGCAATGACGTAGCGAGGCACAACACAGCGCTGACAAAGCAGCCAAACTACAAGGCAAGCAGGCATGCCGCGCAGAAAGACACATGAGGATGATGAAGGTGGTGAGTGAAGAGGGGCATATGAGGAGGATGAAGGTGGTGCATGATGAGGAGCATGTGAGAGGATGAAGGTGGTGAATGAAAAGGGGCACATGGAGAAGGAAGACGGTGAGGGAAGGGGTACGTTGTGGAGGAAGAGAAGGAGAAGGGGGGGCACATCTCTTATCTTCTTGCAGTGTAGAGGAGAAAGAGGACCAGGAGGACACCTTTCTCCTAATGTTATCTCATTCCGTAAGCCGCATACCACAGAAGGTCAGTTGCTGTCCTACTGGCGTCACGCTATCTATTTGTTTTCTGCACAAGTTCTGGTTTTTGCGGGCACGCCTCATCAGGTAATCTACTACCCTCTTCCCCTGAACATAACGCACCCTGAAATTGAACGTATGCAAGCTATATTTCCGGTCCTGTACAGCCAAGATGAGAGTGCGTTGTGTTCGGGGGAAGACGGTAGAGTTACTGTGACATCTGTTGTATTGACATAGTGCCCCCCTGCTCCTGTGATAGAGCAGTTCTTATCCTGGTTGCAAAGTGAAACTGGACCCTTTTTGTCCATTTGTGTGCATTTACCCTGACACAGTGGCATCAGGACATTAACTTTTTTTGGTAGCCAGGGTATGATGACAAAACATCAGGAAGACAGGTGGACAGAAAGGTAGGCATGGATGCAGACAGATAGACAGAGCACAAGGGACACGTAACCACAGTACAGGAAGCCTGTGATTTCATTTAGCGTCCGGCTGTGAAGATGGCGGCTATAAGAAAGAGAAAATATTTAAAACATTCTGGAATTCGGAAAAGGAAAAAAAGTTTATAAAACATGAAAGAAGTCGCCTATGTGTGCTTGTACTCTGGACGCTGGAGTCAGCTGGCTTAAGTGGAGATACCCATCTTATTCTGCCGTATGATGGCACTGCTAAGGGGCCAAGATCAGCTGGCTGAAGGTTCTGTCATTTTCATCTAATGGATTGTATACTCTGTGGCTTGGGTGCAGCTTCTCTCAGGTGGAACCCAAGACATTGATATCGAAGATCTGAAGGAGAACACCAGATACACAGGGGGGTATTCAAGTACCAGCCGAACGATCCAGTACTTCTGGGATGTGAGTACAAGCTCACTCTCCTACAACGATGATAACTCTCTCTCTCTCTCTCTCTCTCTCTC